ACCCCCCCCCCCCTCCTTTCTTATTAGTCATTTGAATAGAAAAATAAATACTATTTCTACAGTAATTCTACAGTAATTTGGTTAGCTGTAACTTGAAAATAAAAGTTAAAATCTAAAGTGAAAATTAAATTTCATTATATTTAATAATATAATAATACACTACTATATATATATATATATATATATATATACATATGTGTGTGTGTGTGTGTGTGTGTGTGTAATACATCACAAAATAATATACATTTTTGTAGTTTAACAATATATGTAATTTTAATTTTAATACAATGATATTTAATGCATTTTTATTTTAACATAATCATATTTTAGTAATATAATCAAATTTTAAAAGCATGAACCACCACATTATTTTCCTTATCTATATTAAATTAAATTATGTAAAGTGTTTAAACTAATAATATTTTAATAAATTTGTTATTTTAATGTAATTGTTTTAATAGTAAAATATTTGAATCACCACATGGATTTCCTTTACTATAGCTGTATATTTATAATAAATTATGTACATTTTTTTGGGTAGTTTAACAATATGTAATTTTAATAATCATATTTCAATATAGTTTTTATCTTATTTTAGTAGTAAAATGTGAGTCACCTTTACGGTAACTGTTCATTTATATTAAGTTGCATATTTTTTTGGCAATTTGTCAGTAAATGTAATTTTTATGTAAAATATGATTATATTAACATACAAATAGATTAAAATTAAATCTATTTATATTTGAATATAATCATATTTTAGTAGTAAAAAGTGTGAATCGCATTATGAATTCCCTTTAACATGACTTTAACATATATTGTTGCCTTCGTGATATCCCACAGCTGGCATTTAATAGCTGCTAGTTTGTTTTTGTTTTTTGTCATATCAATAAACTAAAAAATAAGGTCTGCTTGGTTTAAGGTCTTGTACAGCTTTCTTATAAGGTGATCACAGGCCGTAAGCCTCAAACTATCAGATTCATCCATGCAGAGGAGCCATGTCAAACTAAAAATGTTTCTCCATAAGAAACTTCAGTTTTATGTTTAAACAACAAATGATGATAGAGAGCCCAGATGGCTCATAAGTAAGGGATAATATACAATCAGCACATCATAATGGCAGAATAAACCCAGACAGTGTGATCAGGACCCTGACGTGAGGTGGGTAAATATACAACAAATAGACATGGATTATTGATTTGAGAGGAAATTATTATATTAGATTACTACTTAGAATACGAGCACAGTAGGGCTGTCAAAAAAAATGTGAATTTTGAATATTCGTCGAATTTAAAATAAAAATCCACATTCGAATGCAAAAACGTTGCATTCGAATTTTAGGTGTGCGTCAGGTAGTATTATCAGTGGTGCACTAGATGCGGCGCTGCTACGTTGTTCATTCAAAATATTGCAGAAAAAGAGAACATCAATGCGGAGATGATGTTTACATCAAAACCGAAACCAAGCCATTCACACTGAACGCATATTTATCACATTTTCTAGAGGGACATCTATTACCGTTGCACTCGCGTCTCGCACAAGAGTTTAGAAAGCCATGTAAAATAAAAAATGATGGCGGTTTTTCCCCATCCTACTGCATCTCAAGTTTTTAAATGAAGAAAGTACTCTTTGTGATTGGTTTTCGGTCCTTTGTATTGAACTATACATACATGCATGATGCTGTTTTGTTTCTAATTGTTTAAGCAACTTTAATTATACAAGGTTTATAAACATTAGTTTAAACATTTATGCACTTTTTTCAAAGATAGTCATGTTATTTTATTATGCTTTGAAGAAACGTGCATAATATTTAGTTCGATGCGCCCTCTTGTGGCCTCAGGAGAGAAGCAAAAGCTTTTTTCCCCCTAACTGAAATGATGCCTTTTAAATTCGAATATAATTCGAATATTGATAATATTTAAGTACAAAATTCGAATTTAGTTTTTCAGCCATTTTGACAGCCCTAGAGCACAGCTTTATTGGAAGCATCAGTTTCCTGAATGAGTGGTCTTTTATGCTTTGTTGCCATGGGCAACAGTCATCAATCAGGAATATAGTGCGATAGTCGGTTTCGGGAAGTAAAAATTCCATTCATTTTCTCCATAGAGCAATTGATTTTTTAACGATAACTCATAAACCTGTAAAGACAGATGTACTGAGCTCAGAGGTTGTTAATTTTTAATGATATGTGCTTTTGTTGAAGCCGTCTGCTCACATTATTTCAACTTATTTTTAAAATAATTGTGTTTTAACAGCTGAATTTGTGGTGAAAAACTACATTACCCATGATGCTGTAGAGAAAATTCCACCAATCAGAGAGTTGCGGTGTGGAAATCCTGCCAAAAAGCCAGCAGGGAACGAGATTGATGTGATCTAATTGGTCTTGCTATGCTTTCAAAATACTCAAATATTTATATACATATGAATATTTTGCAATAAACGTAAATTAAATAATTCTTTAAAGGAATAGCTTTATATTTCTCCATTTGATTTTAATCCGATTCCATCATTTGCAATGCTTCCCTTACGATAATTAATCATGGTTTTATTATAGTGAAAGTGTAGTAACCATTGTTTTTTTGGTGATTGATTATCATTTGTGTAACTACAGTTTTACTACTAATACCATGGTTAAACTATAGTTAGTGTAGCTGCAAAACCATGATTAATTTGGGGTTACCATAGTTTAACTAGAATAACCGTGTTTTTTTTTTGTAGTAAATCCATGGTTAATTTTCTTAAAGGTTCATGGAATTGTAGTTATTTTCCTCATTGAAGCCGTTAAGTACACAATCTTGTCTTTTTGTCTGATTTTCAGACACGTTTTGCTTCAAATTAAAGTTTGTAAGGTTGTGAATCACCTATGAGCTGGTTGGATTGTTAAAGGCTCATAACGCTTCAACCAAGACCTTTTTTTAACCCTTAAGGGTAAAATGAGTGAAAAAAAAACCTTCCAGAACTGAAAAAGTGGGCAGGCACTTATGCATTTGATTTGACAGCTGAAAGCCATGATTGACCAATCAGAATCATTCCAGAGAGATGTGTCATAATATAATCTATTTGTATTTGCCTCCTGGATTTAATTGCATGTGGGATTCATCTAGAATTCATCTCAATTCACAGAGTATTTTGTTGTTGACACGTTTTTTTCTCTCTCATTTTCTGTGATGGCCTGTCAGTTGTAATAGTTTGCACCAAAACGCATGAGATCTGCCATCATATATCCCATGTGGCATATCCACGCATTACATCAGCCGGACAGGGGCCTGAGAGTCATTCAGTCAGTCCACACTGGCCCTCAAGAGCCTCAGGCAACACACACACACACTCGACTCAGCTCTAGTGAACAGTCGTGTCAGGACTCCTGGGATACTTATTTTTACATCACTATTGATTTATCTGCATTTGTCTTTCAGCTATAAAATTAGAAACTGCTTCACATGCGTGATACAAACAAAAGGTCCAGATGTGCATGACTCTGTAAACCAGCATGTTTTTGCTCCGCTAAATCAGTCCGCTGATATTTCCGTGCGCTAAATGCAGCGCGCTCAGAAATGTGCAGGTGACACCGACTTCCAGCTGCTTTTATCTCTCACCTTTCAGTTGTTTACATCAATCCGTGATTGGCATCATGTACTGTATGTACGTGAGCGGCATGTGCTCCGTGTTACTGTGTGTTAATTATAGCTCTCCCTCCCTGCCTGAAATACAACCGGTTTATGTTAGGTGACCTTAACTGTGTTTCTATAATGTCTCAATGAGTGCCTTCATGATGCTGCTTAGTTTGCCTGACTAGTTGCTTAATTTAAAGTATTTAAACTGCAGTCAAGCTGTCTGGGATTGGAGTTGTTCGCTTATTGGTCTATTGAGTGGTAAAATATTTTTGTTTAATAAATAAACCCTGACGGGGTGATCAGTGGTGGGTCTTGTGTTAATCTGAGGGGGTTTATTTTGCAATAATGCTGTAATAATGGCTGTAAATTATCCCATAGATAACTACACTCAAGCTATTTAAGGAGGGAAATGTTTATATATATATATATATATATATATATATATAGGCCTAACTATCCAATGATGTAATTTATTTGTACAATCAGAGGAATATCTATCAGACACAACAACAAGGGTGTTGAAGTTGACACTAAATGCGTCTAAAACGGTCTGTGAATTTGTCATTTTTGCATGCATGTAGTTTCATAAAAAGTGCAAGGTTTTAGTGATGATTACTGAATGCACAAATAATTATGTATGTTCTGTTATAGGCCCACTGTATTCATTCTGTCTGCATTTATGTCCTGTTTGTCAAATCATACATGAAATCACATAGGTTTTAATAAAAAATATATATATTAAAGCTGCAAGCAGCGAAGAAATGGCCCTCGCACCCAGGCTCACCGCCACCCAGTGGCTTTAGGAAAACAGCTAACGGTGGGCATTATGCATTTAAAGTGAAAAAATATTTTTTCTTATTCCATTGGCAAATAGTTTATTATTATTTTTATTTTATTAAGCACATATCTTACTAAATAGAGATATATTTATTTAATTAAAAGCTATTTGCCAGTGGAATAAGAAGAAAAAAACTAAATTCAATGTGTTTTCTTTGAAAACAAGTCTAATTAAAGCTGCAAGCAGCGATGAAAGGGTCCTCGCACCCGGGCTCACCACCACCTGGTGGCTTTAGGAAAACAGCAAACGGTGGGCAATATGCATTTTAAGTGGAAAATATAGGAGGAATATGTCAAAGTCATTTATATGTGCCAAACTTCCTACTAAATACCGTAGTATTCTAAATACCGAACACGGTTTTTCAAGTTTTTTTCCCCATGTATTTTGCCAAAAAAAAATTCACCATTGCATGAATTAAAAAGCCAAAATGTGCTTTTTACTGTTTTGTCTTGCTTTTCAAAGAAAAAAAATCAATTACAAAACAACAATTAAAAAATATTTAACACTGAACATTTTTAACATTCTAGC